TCGGCATGAATCGGTTTCAGAGGGGTGGTGTAAATGGGGCAAATATTCATGCCTGGTGCTAGAAGTCGATCCACTCTATATGACTATGCAGTCAATGGACTCCATGCTGATGTGAAGCAGATTTCACCAGCAGTGCTAATACATCTACATATTAGTTAATGGATTCAGAGAAAAAAAAAGACAATATTTTCAAACAGAATAATAAGATTTTTTTCCCTCACTTTATGTAGAGTCAAAGCAGCTGGTTATCTATTTATTCCTGTTCAGGTTCAGAATAACATGAGTAGTGCTCTCACCTCATTTGCATTTATGGAAATAAAAGCTGCACTGAGACATTTGAGCTTTACTGCCTTGTATAAACACTTAACGCCTACATATTATTAAAAATTGTTTTTACTAGATGACAATATATGCCAAAATATGTTTGATTTATATCCTTTGGCTGTTGATGAAGCAGCTATTTGACAAGATTTCTTAAGGTTTTGTTGTGTGTTGCCCTCTTCACTAGTCCACCAGTAGATCCTAACTGAACCAGGTTCTGGTTATGCAATGACTCTACTGACCAAGGTACAATGTGATGCTGGAACTCCTAAAAATAGCAGGGAAACAGTGATAATGGTATGTATTGAGAAACAGTAAATATTTGTAGTTCTTATATAGAAATGTAACATTTTATCAGGTCATTCACCTACTGCCTGTCTGTGAAACTTATGGATCTGCTTCGATCTAATGACCTTGAGTTCATTAGCAGCCTCAGGTTTGATTACACATCTACAACTGGCTGCTGTAGGGAGGAGAGGGGTGTTTCTGTTGCGCAGCACCACAACCTGTATTTACTGCTTCCTCTTCCCTAAAAGCCTGGATGTAAGTGAAGAGAACGCTGAGCTATCTGATGCCCTGAGAACCTGCAGCACAATGGTCTACAGATATCTGCATGCTTGGTTTAAAGTTTTATAAAAACACAATAGAGCTATCCACTTTGAATAAGATCGAAAAACATCAACAAAAAAATTTTTAAATGAGAATATTATACAATAATGTGAATTACTTGGAGTAAGTTTTTATTCCGATAATTAAAAAACCATGTAATATAGATGTATCCTGTAAAGGAGTTCATTCTTTTTTGTGTAAGGAAACCTAAATAACAGCAAGGATGTTTATTCCTTTTCTGAATTTTTTACTTCAAAGAATGATTACTAAACCCAGCATAATACTGTAAATGCTGTAAATGCTTTAATTTCACTGCAGGTTTTACAGAGAAAGTCATGTATTTATGCATCAAAGCTCAAATGAATCAAATTTACTTTAGGCTTGAATGTTGTAATGTGGAACAAAAGTGTGACTAAGCTGAAATGGTATTAATATATCATTATGATGCGCATTGCCTCCTGTTTCTGGTATATTTCTCTATTCTTCACATGTGCTTAAAATCTATTGAGTCAATATGAAACAATGCCATTAAAATATAAAATCAAAATGCTCAATTTGGTACTTTCAATAATTACATTAAAATGTTCTCAAAACGCAGGTATGAAAACCTAAAAAAAAGCTTTACGAAACAACAAAATTTAAGACTTTAAACAGTTGTTCGAACCACGTTTTATCATTTAGTGCTTCAAAACCTTGTGTTAATATAATCCAAACCAACAGTTTCATATGACCTAAAATCTAGGTGGAGATTAAAAGCTTAAAAAAACACATATTTGACAACTATTTACAAGTTATCACAAGTGACTGTTCCTAAAAAAAAAAAGAAGAAAAAAAAGGAAATACCGGTATATATTTTTTCTTAAATGGGACTAAGAATTATAACTATACTCATAAACAAGTAGAAAGTTAAACAGCTTAAAATTATTAACATGCAGGGAAAAAGTCTGCAGATGATTTTCATTTAGTGATTTACAACAGATAAATAAGGATTAAGAATTTTCTTAAGTTGTACAGGATATATTTGAGGCTTTATTCAGTAAGTTTAATCCAAAATAATTGAGTAAAATTTGTGACTGCAATTCATGAAAGAGCACAAATAGGAACAGTTTTATGGTGCTTTGCTAAATAAACCTTTTTTTAACATCCATGCTCTTAAACTAACCCTTCAGTGGTATAAATGTGTCACTATCAGCCTCTGTCTGTAGATTATAACTGTAATAAAACAGATATCCAATCTGATTTTTCTGCGGTTGCTGCCTCTGAGGGCCATGTGCTCTGCAGCCTCCTTCCTACTACAGACGGCACGCAGGAGTCGGCATAGAACAGCTGCAAGGTGATTGGTTAAAGCTCTGTCAGCAGACATCAGAAGATGATTGTGATTGGCCAGCTGTCAGTACCAGGGTTTGGACAGCTCCAGCTCAGTGCCACCACGCTGCCTGCCCTGTCTCTCTCCCTTACACTCACAGACACACGTACGCTTCAATGAATGAGGACAGAAGCGTCCAAACCAAGGCTTCAGGGGCTGTGCTTCGATTGAGTTTGTTTGAAATGTGACTTTTCTCTGCAGTCGCCTCCGAGTAGGATCAGACGAACCCTAAATGGACAACTTCTTCTCACATACACCTTTTCTTTTTCAGCAACCCTGCTGCATCTTTAATGAACCTTATGTTTACTTTAAATATGACTCATTTAGGTTTGCTCGCAGTCACGTCTTTATCAACCTGGTTTGGACAAAACTGACCCTCCAGGCGGTCAAAGCAGAGGATTATGGGATGGACCTAAACCTGACCTATATAAGAAATGCACACAGCCGCAGTGCAATATTTGCTTAAAGCAAAGCAGACAGCCCAACGTTTGTGTTTATTAATGTTGTCCGTCGTGCAAAGCCTGTGAAACGCCGCCTTGGGCAAACAGTCACACATCATCATTCTATTTTCTTTCAAAGTAATAGCCCTTTTTTGAAAGGAAAACAAGAGGCATTATGACATACTTATTAAATACATGTATTATTAGTTATAAGCAAACACTGTTTTACTATACAGCGCTTTGATCATAGCATCAAAAAAAAAGTTAAAGAAATGTACATTAAGCAGATATGTACTGACAGAAGTTCAACCTCAGTAAAAATCTAATTTTACAATGGCCGCAAGTAGGACGTTTTTGGTTTATGTAACAACATTAATTTATTGTGTTACAAAAAAGTTATTAGCTTGCAGATGAATGTACTTTAATTATGAGAACTTGAAATATTACCAGAAAGTTCCTCTATGTTTGTGGGAAAGCAGGACACTACTTACCAACCCTGGTCTCAAAATCCAAAATGGCTGCTTTACATCTATATATGCAATGTAAGATCCCAAGTTTATTTTTTTTAAATAGAGCTGAGGGCTGCTTTAACATGTAATGAAACAACAAGGAAGCAGAAACAGCCACGGCATTCACCCTCTCTGTCATCAGTGGAAAGGAGGAAACAGCATTAACTGTTGGCTAATAATAAGTTATTAGCACAGACGTCAATGAAGAGATTTTACTTTTCTAATTATCTTATAACTTATTTTTAATAACTTGTGTTGTAAATCTAACCTTGATGTATCCTTTTATTATTTTTTAACAGACTCCTTTCTTGTTGGGTCCTTTGTTTCTGACAGCACTAGATCTCAAACCTTTGTGCAAAAGGTGTTATTTTTCTTCTTTAAACCCCATAATAGTTAAACTAAATCATCATATTGTACAACATTCACCAAAACTTTAAGAAATGTGCTTTTATCCATTCTTTGTCACTTTTATTTTCTGGATCATTCTTACCAAAACAAACCCCTGAGTGTTTAGTATAGTAAGATAATAATCCCTTTTTATCCTTAGGAAAATAAGAGATCAGGTTTGCAATAAGGAGGCATTAGTATTGAGGCAGATGATAAAATAATGCTCTGATAGTCAGCTAAAGCCTGATTAATGTGATGTTTGGGATTCAGATGAGTGCAATGGCGTAACGACACTACAATAGACCTGTAAGCAACATTATTGGGGTGGGTTAGGGTTAGGTGCAGCAACGTCGTCCTGTCCCACTTCGGTTCTTTGAAAGAATGTGTTTATTTTTGGATGTTTTTTTCCATTCTTCCAGCAGCTCTTCTTTCCTTTTTCTTTTCTGGAATCCCCTTAAGTACCTCTATTGGTATCCAACTGTTACGTACAATAACACATTGTACGTAACAGTTATGGTTTTAATCGACGCTCTGGATTACCCATAATTCCAAGCCGTATTGTTAAAAAATAAAATAGTTCTTTTAAGATTTTTATTGCGGTTTGAAACATATTATATGAGTGTATTTTTTTACCAACCGTCTTAACGAACCATACCTAGTTATTAACATAGTAATTAAAAGTACCTTTGCTTTGCTATTGGTGTCGTGTTTAAATGGCTCACCATCATGGTGAAATCTGCCATGTGTTGGGGTATAAATGAGGTCCAGTCAGTAAATCTAGTATCAGGTGGGTTTAAGATTATTTTTTGGCACCATTACATCTGCAAAGAGATGTCCTAGTCTACAATTGCTTATAGGGGGCCAACGAGGTGAGGGGGGCCCTAAGAGGTCGTGGGCCCCTAAGCGACTGCAGGCTCTGTTACGCCACTGGATGAGTGATTTATTAAGAATAACAAACATCAGAATATGGCCAGGCTTGGCTTAATAAAATACTGGCCCAGTGACTCTGATGATGATGATGATGATGATGATGATGATGATGATGATGATGATGATGATGGAGAAGAAATCGGAGGTTGTCAAGGACAAACCCACCCTTAAAGGATGTATAAATTTTTAGCTTGTTTTGGATTTAAGTGCAGCACTGTTTCTCTAAAGGCCTGTATGATTGTTGGCTTCCTTTACCGTTTATATGGTGACAGGAGGAAGTGCGATATTAGAGGACGGATCGAGCTTTAATCCCGGTGAGCAACGGTTCAGATTTAGCAGCAGGTCACCGAGCTGGATCCAGCATCCAGCGCCGGTCACAGTGACTCTAAGGCGGGATTAAAGACGAGGCGCTAACGTTAGGGAGGAAGCTAGCCTTACCAGTTCTCCTGCATCCATCGGATGGCTTCCTCCTCGTTGAACTGCCTCTCAAATTCATATTCTTGCAGAGCTAAAACCGACATGGCTCGCAGTGCTCAGGTTCGTTCAGGATGGCGCCGCTGGAACAAAGCTCGGGCTGGATGTTTTTTTCCGCTGGGTCTGCTCCTGGTCTCTGTCCTCAGCCCTTAACTAGCATCGCTCACGCCGCTGTCAGCAGCACAGAGGCAGTCCCTCCCCGCTCTCTCCTCCTCCGCCACCGGCTGACGGAGCCAACACCCTCTTCCTGAAGAAAGGAGCACTGCGGGTCCTAGCGCCGTCTTGTCACACGTTCAGAGGAATTCATCCTGCTGGTGCTGAGGGGCCCCCAAGTTGAGGGGGGTCCAAGAGTGCTAAACTCATCACATAAAATATTGACCTAAATACCGGCTCCAAAAAGGGCAAGTTGTAGCTCCTAACTTCTCTTTCCTCACCTTTTTGGAGGCCAACAAGAAGAACATTATGGGAAAGAAAGGAACTGCTGTGCTGAAATTTGACATCCTTTAATCTTCTAGATCAGTGGTAACCAATTCAAAATCAGTGGGGTCCTTATAAAGCAAATCATCCACCAATAAAGGTCTGTAGACAATGAATTATATTTAATTATAATCTGCTACTTTAAACAGAATTGAACACAAAGAAATAAAATTAGGTTTTTATGCATCCATGTTATACATTGACTTAAAAAAGGGAAATGTTTTTCATTTTAAAATATTAATTGTTTTTGAAGTAGAGAACAGCAATCGTTCAGTTTGGTGTATAGACAATTTCCTGATTCACATATTTTATAAAACAGCTGAACTGACCATTTTTGGGGTTTTTTTCTTTCTTTTTCTGGCTTAATGAGATCAGTGGGCTTTAGGCTGCCCTGCAAGACTTTAAACCTGGGTTTGAATGGAGACAAGGCCATTCTCAAGCACTTATCTAGATGCTCATTTTGAGCCTGGATACTCAAAATGTGCAGGGTCATTTCACATCTCACTTTTCTGTCACCAATTCACCATGGTTCTTCCAGCAGTCCACACTTTCTCTCCTTTCTTTCTCCCATCATCTTCTCCTTCTTTCTCATCGCCCAGCTTTGCCTGCTGGTTCTAAAAGTAGCTAGCAGCAGCAACCCAGACTGATACAGCTTATTGGCTCATTTTTATCATGTGCAGCCTGGTGCTGGACACTGTGGATGGCTTTACCGTGTTAACAGAAGAAGCGGCGCAAGTGCAATTAGACACTGTCGTCGGACAACATGAGGTAATTTATAAAGGTTTTAAATCAGGTTGGGTCCGGATTATCCAGCAGGCTGGATCTGGATCCGGACCACAGTCCGCTAATCCATGACCTCTGTTCTAGGCATTATTATAGAAAAATGTTCATGCCCATGAGAACTGGGAGCCCTCTGAAAATCATAATGTAGTTAAACAATTAAAGTTCTTTATAAAATCCGAAACATTTGAAGGCCTGTAAATTGGCATATGTCACAAAGGGTACACATTAGTGTTGCACCGATACCAGTATCGGGCGGGGCCCCGATCCAGCACTAAAATGGTTGTATCGGTATCAGCGAGTACCAACAAATAGAGCACCGATACCATTTTGAGAGCCAAAAGTTTATTCAACTATTGTCACACATTCCAGGTAGGCAATAAAAAGTTCTACTGGATTCACTTTGAATTAGTCTTTTTCCTGCTTCACAAAGGTAGGCAGTAGCTTGACAAAGCCATGATGGGAATTATCATACATACAAGTAGTATGCAGTTCTTCATACACACACGCACAAATCAGTTTCATACAGATGGTATTGTTATTGGCAGATACTGCACAACCAGGTATTGGTATCCGGGCCAAAAAATGGCATTGGTGCAACACTAATACATCAGAAATTAGTTTAGTTTTGTTCAATTCCATCAAATGGGCTATTATGTATCTTATACTGTATGTCCTGTCACACAAAGGATTGTGGGAATCCGTATAGGTCCTAAGGACCAGATAGAAAAGTCAGAAGGTAACTGTTACTATTTCATCTCAACCGTTATCCATAACATCTGCTTATTTGCGCATTGAAAACCACAAATATATGAAAAATAATGACTTTGCCAAAAGAATGAATGTATTTACTGTACATCTTTTGTTTTATTGCCTGTCTGTTCCTGATCTGTCCATATAAAACTCCATACATAAATGTAAACGTACACATGCATACCTTAAAAAAAGACAGTTAGTTTGCCACAATTAATTTTTTTTACTACCTCACGTAAAGGAATTGCGTCTAAAAAACGTCAATGTGCAGGGGCAGAACTTGACAGTTTTTTGGGAGGGCCAGAGGGGGCAAGTCTATTTTACTTAGACTTAGACTTAGACAAACTTTATTGCCATTTTGTATACACAGATTGTATACAAAGGGATATTTCAATGTATGTAGCTTTTCAACTGTGAATGTTGAATTCAGGGGTTCCACATACTATGAGAATGTGTCCCTAAGCTTTTGCAGTTCATATATATCAGTACATGTTAGGTACAAAGGTGATCGGATTCGTGTATGTAATTGGCAGTTTATTAACATTGTAAACAAATGTAACACCAATAAAAGCAGAACTTGGCATACGTGTTTGGATTTACTTACAGTATCAGTGGCTAAATAACCATTACTTGTGAGTCCTTGAATTGATAAAGCTTTATACAAGCATAGGGTCTGTTGCTTCATTCTCTCCACAGTGTACACAGTTCTTTATGTTATATTATGCGTTTGTATTTTGAAAAGTATAGAACTAAGCCCATTTGACTAAATTCTAGTCTTGTTCTTAAATTTTCTTTTTTTTCCCCTCCTTTTTGCAGTTTACTTTTTGCCTTGTCTACCACTCTGTTACAGTTTATCTTTAATGGTACTCCTTTATTCTAACTTATATACACAGTAAAATTCTTCTTGTAGTTGAGTTAATTGCAACCCTTTGTGTCATGAGTGAAATAAGTAGTACCGGTAAAAAAAAAAAATGGCAAATAGAATAAACAAATACCAAAAGCAGCAGTAGTGATCCTACTGATTTTTAGCATTAGGGTCAGGGGTAGTAAATACAATAGCTGAATAGAATAGGTTAATAGATGGATTGAATTATGAGTCCAAAAGGAGTTCTAAGGAAATTTCAAAAGAGAACTCGGCAGAACTTACTCACTAAAATACAACCTGGTGTTCCAAAAATGTTTGATAAAATATGCCTGCCGAAACAAAGAAAAACCATACTGTTACCTCTACACTTAAAAAATTATGCAAAGAAAAATAGGTCAAGATTCTATTAATCGGTAAATACTCCCACGGCCAGGTGGGGTTTCACAAAATTATATTTACAGTAAATTATAAATGATTTGAAAATTTACTACCATTGCTTAATTTTCAATCCCTTAATCTCTGTTATTTACAAGACATAAGCTTCGTCTGGTAATTTGTCCATTTTATAATAATTCTCTACTCCTTATAAATGACGCAGTAAAAAAACTGCTGATTGGAAATTTGCCTGGGAGGTTTTGCATATTTTCCATTTGCATGTGAGAGCGTCTCCTTACAAGTTGTTTTCCTCTCAGAGTACAACCAGCCTGTTAACTGCTGATATTAAATAGTATTGTAGCGTATTCATAGCTGACTGTAATTGAAAAGGGTGCATTTGCTTCCGTCACCATTTTAGTATGTGATATAATATGGTATCATGGGTGTGTCTTGCTATACACCTTTCACGTACATCTATAACGCTTCTATTCTATTCTATTCTATTCTATTCTATTCTATTCTATTCTATTCTATTCTATTCTATTCAAATCTTTTTACCCAGCCAACCTACCCTTTAGTAAGTTTAATAAGTCTCTTAAGATTTACATAAAAGTGATTTTGACAGACTGTTTTTTTTTTTATTGAGATGACTAAGGAAGTCATAAAGGTTTATTTTCAAATAGCCATTCCCAGAGTCACAAAGCATTGTATAACACAGGAGAATTTAGATTAGACTGTTGCAAAAGAGGCTTTCATAATATGCAGCCATGCATGACTCATCATGTAATGCACGTGTTTAATTGCCTTACTACAGGAATGTTTGATTACCTTTCCTTATCAGAGTGAGGTCACTGTTTTACTGCTAAGTAAAATGCTTTGTGCCTTAAATCCAAGATGAAGAACTACCTACTTTATAACTCAGGACTTTGCTCTAATCCAACACTTAAAAGACCGCTGGGTTTATCAGCCTATCAGGGTGAAAGACATGTTTCAATATGACAAACAGATGATGGGTGGTGTAAGCCTCTGTGGCACCACCGAGTCAACATCTCACCTGGATACGGGTAATGGGGCTGTACAAACTACCTACAATGTCACTTAAAACCTACTTTGGTTTCTGTCGTTACCATAAACAGCAATTATTACACTAATTAATGTGTAATTCATCCACATTACTTTTTTATAATAGCGAATTATTGTATTTTAAGGGAAATTTTAATTCTGGGAAATTCCTGATTATCCTCAATACTTCTGTATAAAAACCGTCTGAATAAAAACATAAAGACTCTTTAGACTCTAAAGACTTGGGAGATACAGTTTATAGTGAGGAGATTATTTATTTTTCAAGTCTCATTTTCAGATTTCTCCCCCTACATTCACAGAGTAGAACATCATCGGAAAAATGGGAGAGACTGAAATGTATATGTTGCATCACAAGAAGATATAGCCATATTTAAAGCAAGGACTCTCATATCTTTGCAATCTTTTGGATTTACTGCAAACATCGCATGACTTATGATCATAAATAACAACCCCTTTTCAGTTCTTACTGAGAGAACTAATGATGGCCAAAGGAAAAAATGTGGTTCTATTAAAATACCGACTTCATAATAAAAGCATTTGTTTCTCCCAGTTTAACACCATCATAACGCAGCGATCCATACACCATCCGATGTCCCTGCTTGTCATCGGGAGAGAAGGAGGCTCCACCCTAGGTATGTAACTGACTCAAAGGACAGATACAGTAGCAATGCATGCTCGGATATTTACATACACACAGCTAAGGGCAATTTACAGGGACCAATCAACATAACAGCACCAAGATAAAAGCCATGACTTCAGAGGTAAATCTCTCTGCAGAAACATCAAACCCAGGAATAGGGTAGCAGCCAATGATTATGCAGCCAATCATAATCATCACATCATAAAATTCAATCATATCTAATAGTTATACATTCAGCA